GAGGGTCAGTGCTGAGGGAGCGGGCACTGTCAGAGGGTCAGTGCTGAGGGAGTGCCGCACTATTGGAGTCCTCTTTAACAAGTATTTTGCTGGGTGTAAAGCCCTTTAACACCTCCTGGGGACATGACAGGCCATATAGAAATGCAGGCAGCACTGCAGAATATTTGCAGAGTTGTGTCATTCTGAGCCTGTTATTATTCTCACAACCTGCCTCCTGCCAATTGCCCTCAGTTGGGGCAGGGCTGCTCCTAAGGGACAGAGAGAACGTGATGCATTTCAGCTTGTTCAGAACATATTGCTCTCTGTGCACAGCCACACACACACACAGGCACACACATGGTGTGTCCAACTCTCTGGGTTATAGTGTTGGAATCTTTAACATCTGTCTTTAGGATTGCAGCCTCTCTAGTCCCAGGTAGTTTGTACTGGTTACACAACCATACAGCTCCTGTTGTTGGTTTCCGTTATTCATTACAGGGATCAGACAGGTTCAGATGCCGATGGTTATGTGATACTGGCTCTGAGGCCATTTGGCTGAGTTTGGATGTTGTGAGTCTGTCAGAAACACCAAATTTGGGAATGTTCGGTCCCCATCCCAATGGTGCAGGTCCTCAATATAACCAGCCTATACAGAAACCATCACACCCACACAGACACTATCAACAGGTGCGACTGTGTCCCCCCACCCCCGGTGCGACTGTGTCCCTCCCCACCGGCGCAATTGTCCCTGCAGCCCCCCACCCCTGGTGCGACTGTGTCCCCCGGTGAGACTGTGACCCCGGCCCTGGTGCAATTGTGCTCAATATACCCCAGCGCAACTGTGTTCCCCCCCCCGCCCCGACTGTCCCTGCCCCCCCTCTGGCCCCGGTGCGACTGTGTCCCCCAGCCCCTGTGCGACTGTTCCCCAGCCCCTGTGCGACTGTTCCCCCTGGCCCTGGTCCAACTCTGTCCCCCGGCCCTGGTGTGTCTGTGTCCCGCCCTGGTGTAGCCTCAGCATGGATTTCAGGCCTCACGGTGAATCCAGCGCGGTCTGGAGTCATGGCCCGGTGCCAAGGTATGGACTGGAGGCTCGGTGCTGGTGTGGCTTGGGTTGGAAGATTGTTATTCTGAACTTGGTTTCTCTATTTCTCTCAGAATGTGTAAGGGAAGAACCTGTACCTCGGGTATCTTTGTACCTACGATGGTGCCATACGTACACATGCCAATAAAGCAAGTTGTAAATTCTACTGGCCTCACTGGTACTGTTGTTGGAACACCAGCCTAGTTTTCTGTGGCCGGGGCTTCAAATCCCTTCATTACAGAAGATTTGAAGCTGGCCTATTGGTGTCTGACCTCTCGATTGTTTTAAAACCCCATCGGGTTCACTAAAGCCCTTTGCTGGGGGAGATCTGCCCACCCTTACCAGGTCTGGCTGACATGAGTCCAGACCCACAGTGATGTGGCCCACTCTTAACATCCCCCTGGGCAAATAGGGACTGGAAATAAATGCCGGCCCGGCCAACGCTGCCCACACCCAGTAAAAAGAAAAGTAGACAGTTCTATTTGGGCGGGGGGGGTGGTGCTTGCTGGTGGAACATTGCCGTGGGTGGCACTGCTAGGGAAAGTTGGCCAGACAGCAGAAACAAACCAGACGATTCACCACAGACAGTAACTTACAGTTTTGACTGTTAGAGGACAGTCCAGAGGCTGTCACGGCCATTCTGCACAATAATATCAGACACCTCTGTCAGGAATAAGCCTTTAATTCAGCGTGCCTGTCCAGGACAGGGCTATGACAGAGCTGCCAGGATGTAATCTTCCCAACTGTGCCCACTGAGCAAGTCCCAGACAGGAACCTGCATATGCTTTTTCACAGCTGGTGTGTGCACCAACCGAACAGCCAGAAACAAACCTTTTGTGGGCTTCAGTGATGAGGAATATTTATTTACACGTTAAGCTTGAAACATAACTCAACAGTGCATTCACAGTCAAACACAGACAGACACACATACAGACATACCCACACACAGACATACAACACATACACATACACACATACAACACATACAGACACACACACACACAAGCAATCAAGGAAAGCATAGAGTCGGGAAGAATCCTATACCTTTCCGGGTGATAAACTGAACAAAAAATTCTTGATTCATGCGATTGTCTCATCCTGGAGAGTACACACAGTGGATTTGGGGACATCAGCTCTCCTGAAGTCTGAGTGAGTGGAATATCTGTGGACATGTAGGCCAAAATAGTTTCTGGCTTCTCACGAAGGGATGGGGCTCACTGTAGGGCATGGCTCCTTACCAAGAGCTAAGTTCTGAGGAAGGGTCACCGGACCCGAAACGTTAACTCTGTTTTCTCCTTCACAGATGCTGCCAGACCTGCTGAGCTTTTCCAGCAACTTTGTTTTTGTTCCTGATTTACAGCATCCGCAGTTCTTTTGGTTTTTATTTTCTAAGTCTGCCATATTGGTGAATGGGAAAAGGGCTGGAGACCGTACGGTTTTGCATGCTGGTCCTGTCACATCCATGGTTGTGGACAAGGTTATAAAGGGACAAGCATGGCACCACCTTACCATGTGACTGCTCACAACTGCAGCTTCTTTTTCCAACACAGTGATGGTCTCAGGTTGATTGTCCATGTCCTGGTTTATTGTTTGAAGACATTGCTCTCGAGGGGAGATGTGGACAATCACCTTCTTTGTTTCAGAAGAAGGCTAATCAATTCTGGAATGTCTTCTGCTGGCCTCAGGATGGGCCTGGAATGTATTCTATTGTCCTTGTGAGACAGTGAGGCAGTTTCTGAATACACAAGGCAAGGCATCTGACCTCCGGAAGCCATCTTTGCAATACATGATTAATTTTCAAAAAGAAAATTTAATTTGAAAGTTTCCATGTTGAAGAAAGTACATTTCTTGATATTTAGGAACCGGATATGTCATTACTAGGCACAGCAACTCCCCTGAGTGTAAATTATTAACTCTTTACTGTCAGTCACAAGCCTACTGACCTCAATGGGCATTACACAGATAAACAGTAGAACGACATTCACAACCTTAAACAGAAATATATGTCCACAATTCAGAATCAAAACAGGAGACTGTTTTATATGTGCAGGCCCTAGACACAACCTATTTGTAGTGATATCTTTCTATATCTCGCTGTTAGCTCTACCTGTCAGCTCTCTCATTCTCTGTCAGCTCATTCTTTCTGTCCCTGTCTCTCTCTCTCTTATCTTTCACTCTCTGTCAGCTCACTCTCTCTGTCTCTCTCTCTCTCTTATCTTTCACTCTCTGTCAGCTCACTCTCTCTGTCTCTCTCTCTCTCTTATCTTTCACTCTCTGTTGGCTCACTCTCTCTGTCCCTGTCTCTCTCTTATCTTTCACTCTCTGTC